CTCTCTCTCTCTCTCTCTCTCTCTCTCTCTCTCTCTCTCTCTCTCTCCTCTCTCACTCTTTCTAAAAAAAAAGAAAAAAAGGGCTGGAGTATAGCTCAGTGGTAGAACCCTTGCCTAGCATGTGTGAGGGTCCGAGTTCCATCCTCAATACTGCAAAAATAATTACTGAGATTCTGCTTCACACCCACTCAGGTGGTTGCAGTCAAAAAGATGGATAATAACAAATGGTTAGAGTGTGGAGAAATTGGAACCCTCTCACATTGCTAGTGCAGCCACTTTAGAAAACAAACAGATAATCCAAATATGCTCATCAACTGATGAATGGGTAAACAAAATGAGATATTTTTGGAGTATATATACACTGTTTATATGATGGAATATTTTTCAGCTATAAAACGAATGAGGTGCTGAAACAGTACAACAGGAATAAACCCTGAAAACATGCTTAGTAAAAGGAAACAATAAGGACAGGCCATGTTATCTCCAGAATAAGTGAACTGGAAGATACAGGAAATAATGTGGTTGTTGCTAGGGATTGAAGGAAGTGAGTAATAGGGATTGGCCTGCATTTAGAGTGGGGTTTCTTTCTGTGGTGATAAAAGTGTTCTGAAATTAGTGGAAATGTTTGTACATATTTGTGAATGTATTAAAAACCACACCTTGGATACATTAAGAAGGTGAATTTTCTAGCATATGAATTTTATCTCAAAAAACCACACCCAAATATTGTGTGCATGTATGAACATGTAACAACAAATTACACCATTATTTACAACTACAGTGTACCAATAGAAAATGTGGAGGTAAAAAAAAGAAAAAAAACCTACCCATGCACTAACATTTGTATTGCTAACATTGTATTAAAATTTCATGAAGGGGGCTGGGGTTACGGCTCAGAGGTAGTCATCTCGCATATGCGAGGCCCTGAGTTCGATCCTCAGCACCACATAAAAAAATAAATAAATAAAATAAAGATATTGTGTCCATCTATAACTAAAAAAATACATATTTTTTAAAAATTCATGAATCATTTTTTAAAAATCACTAAGGCAAAAGTAGGTATTCTAACAAGCAGAATATAACAAATGTTGTTTTGCTCAATATTAATAGCTTCCGTGCAAGTACATATAATTATATTCCAAAGCAGTTTTATGATTCATAGTATCATTCTTTCTTCCATTATTGAAGTTGGTAGCACATTACTAGATTTCCACAAACCACAATGAAATGTCATGTATTTGTACATAAGGTTAGAGGAAATGTTTTTAAACCCCTTAATGATATTTCCTCCAGGATGGCAAGGACTCAGAATCAAAGCACTGAACTATTGTGTATTCCTCAAGGATAGTGCAGGGCATATAGTAGGTGCTTAGTGACCATGAGCTTTAGGGGTATGCACTTTTTTGAGTCATAGGCACTAAATTTAATCTCAGCTGCATCAGTTACTGATACCAGTGACTCTGAACAAATTGTGACCCTTCTTAGCCTGAGTCTTCTAATCTAAATAGAGGTGGTGGGAGAGGGCAGTAGCTCTACCTCACAGTGAGCTTACACATGTAAATAGCTCAGCCGGCTTCTGGTAGAATCCTCCATGTCAGCCAGAGCTGTCAGTAACAAGCCCCTCTCTCCCTGCCCTGTTCTTCTCTTCCTTTACAGACAGAATGGGAAGCTCTGGAGCTGACGGATCACCAGTGGGCACTAGATGATGTAGAAGAGGAGCTCATGGCCAAAGACCTCCACTTTGAAGGCATGTTCAAAAAGGAATTACAGACATCTATTTTTTGAAGACCGAACCAGGATTAGCTGTGTCAGGAGCGAAGAGTAGCATTTAACCTTGTAACTTTCGTTGGAGCTGGAGCCTCTGAGAATAAAAAGGAGGGTGCAAGGGCTGGCGGGCGTGCAGCAAGGCTCGTTCTTGTCTGAGCTGGGTTCCCCTGACGTTGGAAACTAGAGGAAAGAGGAGTATGCCAGCAATTCACTATTTAAAAAAGTGTTTTAAAGTTTCCTTCTGGTGACTCTAGTAGTGACAGTCAGAGAAAGGGGAAAACTCAAGCTACTGATAATATATAAAAACTTAGCAAAAATTCCGTCTTTCGAAGAAGCATTGTCAATTATAACTAGTTATTATGTTCAGTCAGCCTGACTTCTAACCACATTGAACTCCTGTTTTCTTGGGATCCAAGCACCTTCCCCTCTGCATTTTACCTTTAATTTTTTGGTTGGTATTTTTAACTTTACAAAAGTACACCTTTTTCACGTCCCAAATTTTAGAAACTATGGATGAGCAAAATGAATATCCCTGTATTATTCACTTTGAGCCCACAGAAGGACACAGAAAATGTGTCCAAACCTTGTTCAGAGTGAATACCCAGGGCCAGGGCAGACTTTTGATAAGCAAACCTTTGATAAGTCTTAACATTGTCCAGTGAAAATCAATGACCCCGAGGCACTGCCGGCTTCTCAAGTGCCTTTGGGATTATCAAAGACAGGTTCAATAATATAAGTTCTTGATCTAGACTTCAGAATATATCAAACCCATTGACAAATCAATGGTGCTGTACTGTAAATGGCTACTCAGTTGAACGAAAGACCTCATTTCCCAGTTACTCTGGACAGGAGAGAATTCACATATCACTGTCAGAGGGGAGAGAAGGCAGCTGCCCAGGAATCTTTCTGTCTAGATTAACAGTCCCAGGGAAATGGCAGAGACCCATTTCTGTACCAAGAGATGGATGTAATTTGCATGTTGAGCACTGTAATCAAGAACAAACGACTCTTGACTCTACAAATTAAACCATTCTGTTTTTTCTTTGCCTGTGAAAGTGTTGCCTCTGTGGGTCACTGACAGCTTCTGCCACCAGTTATGAGTGTCTGAGACCTGTGCTGGAGAGAGTAACAGTGAGAGATGTGACCCATGCCCACAAAGAACCCAGAGAGGGGGCTGGGGAGTGTAGCTCAGCCCTAGAGCATGAGCTTAGCATTCCCAAGGCCATGGGTTCCATCCCCCACACAAAACAAAACAAAACCTTATATAACAAACCCTTTTTTAAGGTCACAGAACCTCTTTGAGAATCTAAGGCCAGAGGCAGATGAGCTCATGAGTCATCTCAGAAGCGACTTGACCCTGATGGTGGTAGAGGAGGGAGCCTTTGGGAAGGACTGAGGCAAAGGGGCGCAGAGTGTTGAAGTGAGAGTGAGATGGTCCAGAGGTCAGAATGGGGTGTCCTTGGGTTCCCCTAGAGCAGTAGTGCCTGCTCCTACACTCGCCCTTGCCTGGCTCTGCATGAATACACCTCCCCTCTCTGGGCTTTAGTCTCCCCTTCCATCAAAAGGGGATCACATAGTGTGGCCACTTAGGAAAAGTCTGGCAGTCCTCTAAAAGCTAACAAAATTTCCAGGTGACCCAGCAGATCTGCTAGCAGATAGACAAAATGGACAGGGTATTCCCTGATCTTAAGCTGAAGGGTAAGTGCTCTAAGTGGCTAAGCAATGTGCCGATTCATCTGCTCACCTAGAAACATGGAGGCTCTCAAAATTGGTCCATTTAAAAAAAAAAAAAAATCCCCCCCCCCGGGTGAATTTTAAATACAGAAATTAAAGAGGGACTTGCTATTGCCTTTAATAGCATGCCACTGGAACACCTCTTGTACCAGTGCTGCCAATAGACAAGCCAAGCAGTAGATGTGAGGCAGTTATTGCCATGTGCTAATGATTATGGAAACAATGAAAACAGTAGAAGGGAGAAAGGCAACAATCTAAACGTCCTATCAATAGACAAGTAGTAAAAACAAATGAAAACATTCCACACAAAACATACAAATATTCATAGCAGCATTTTGGAGGGGGCGGGTATTGGGGATTGAACCTAGGGGCACTTTACACTGAACTACACCCCCAGTCCCTTTTATTTTTGAGACAAGGTCTTGCTAAATTGCCCAGGCTGACCTCCAACTCCTCCAGCCTCAACCTCCTGAGTTGCTGGGATTACAGGCATGCACGATGGCATCCAGCTGTAACATTATTCATAAAGTCACCAAGTGAGAAACAGCCCAACTACCCATTAACTAATAAATGGATAAATAAAATATGGTACATCATATGACAATATTATTCAGCAATAAAAGGAAATGAAGTACTGACGCTACAGTACAGATGAACCGTGAATCCTCACACCACACATACTCCTCCCTTTTCTTCCTTTCTTTTTTGCAGTGCTGGGGATGGGACCCAGGGCCTCACACATGTTAAACTCATCTCTACCACTGCACCACACCCATAACCCCTCCCATGGTTTATGAAACATCCTGAATTAGCAAATCCAAAGAGATACACGGTAGATTTGTGGTTGCCAGGGTTTGGGGGACGTAGACTGGGAAGTAATTGCTAATGGGTCTTGATTTTCTTGTTGGAGGTAATGTACTAGGCAGATTTCCATTGCTGTGCCAAAGTGCCTGAGAAATTCAACTTGAAAGGAGAAAACAGGTTTGTTTTGGCTCACGGTTTGGGAGGTTTAACTTCATGTGGCTTTTGGGCCTGTGGCAAGACAGCACATCACAGTGGGAGTGTGCAGTGAAGCAAAGTTACTCACCTCACAGCAGCTGGAAGCAGAGAGAAAAGAAGGTGCCAGGGTTCTAATATCCTCTTCCAGGACACGCCCCCCCAATGATATAACTTCCTCCAACTAGGCTCCACCTCTTAAGGGTCTACCACCTCCTAAGAGAGCCACAGGCTGGTGACCAGGTCTTCAACACATAATCCTTTGGAGGACACTCCAGATGTAAACTAGCAGATACAGGAAGTGTTCTAAAGCTGAACGTGACAAGAGCTGGCCCAGTGGTCTTACCTAGCATATATGAGGTTCTGTTCGATCCCCAGTGCCACACAAAAATAATAATAATAATAATAATGTGGTGAAGGCTGGGGTTGTGGCTCAGTGGTAGGGCACTCATCTAGCGTATGTGAGGCCCTGGGTTCAATCCTCAGCACCACATAAAAATAAATAAAGGTATTGTGTCCAAATACTACTAAAAAATAAATATTAAAAATAATAATAGGGCTGGGGCTGTAGCTCAGTGGCAGAGCACTTGCCTAGAATGCATTGAGGCCCTGGGTCATAAAAATAAACAAATAAAATAAAGGGGGGGAGGAGGAGGAGGACCAGGACGAGGACCAGGACGAGGAAGAGGAGGAGGACAAGGATGAGGACGGAGGCTGCCATAGAAGTGGGAATCCCCTAAGGAGTGTGTATCAATTCACCTGCAGAATCAACTAGCCCTGAAAGGAGGAGGAGGGCCATGGAAGTTGGAATCCGCTAAGGAGTGTCAGAATCAACTAGCCCTGAAAATGGATGGTGCTGGAGCATAGGCCCAGACCAGCTAACACAATGGACAGGGGCAAGGTGAGGGAGACCTTCGGACCTGCTAAAGGAGGAGGAGGGCCACTGTGGTGAGCCTGGAAGCCTAGGGCGTGGCCCTGTGAGCTGCCACAGGTGCAGATCTCGGAGGTAGCAGCAAATCTTCATGAGAACTTTGAAGGCCAAAATGGAGAAGGGTTCCATGTGAAAAGCAGTTGAATATGGGTCAGTCAGTCTTGAGAGATGGGCAAAGGGATGGGCGATGGCCTCTGTTGCCCTTTTTAGAAATTAAAAAAAAAAAAGAAAAATGTAAATAATAAATAAGAATAATGTGGTGATAGATGAGAACTGTTTGAGTCTACTGAAAAAAAAACACTGAATAGCTGAGTGCCATGCTGCACACCTGTAATCCCAACTTGGGAGGCTGAGGCAGGAGAATCACAGATTCAAACCCAGCCTTAACAACTTAGCGAGACCCTGTCTCAAAATTAAATATAAAAAAGGGCTGAGGATGTGGCTCAGGGGTTAAGCACCCCTGGGTTCAAGCCCTGGTACTGACCCTACCCCCCAAAAAAAAGACTATCAAGGAGACCCTTGTGTCGCTGGGTGCAAAGGATTCTCAGGGGCCAGCCAGCACATTCCGGAGCTTCTGTTGTGCTTTAACGCAGCCCAGCTGCCCTGCTCCCACCTGGTCCCACCTTGGCTTTCTTCCAGCTCTGGGCTTTGCCTCACTGGAGTCAGCCTGGGAAGACCCACAGGGTTCAAAAACCTGGGTTTCAGGGAGTGAGTACCTAACAAATCACACATTTTTTAAAAAAAAAAATTTAATATTTATTTTTTAGTTGTAGGTGGACACAATATCTTTATTTCATTTTTATGTGGTGCTAAGGATCAAACCCAGTGCCTCACGCGTGCTAGTCGAGCACTCTGGGAATGGAACCCAGGCCCTCACGCATGCTCAGCACGTGCTCCACCACTGAGCCCGACCTCCAGCTAAACACTTTATCTCTGCAACCCCCTCTCAAGATGGGTGAGCCAGCCCAACGTACCCTTTTCCTTTCTTCTGTTTCTCAAATCTTTTTCATTTTTAATGTTGCATTATGGAGAATTTCAAGCCTACACAAGAGCAGAGGGAACAGTATAATAAATTTCTGTGTATCTGTCACTCTGTTTCATAATTATCAATATATAATCTCCCAAACCACTTGTTTTGTGGGGGTGAGGACTGGAATATTTGCAAAGTATATCCCAGATATCATGTCACAAATAAACATCTTAGCAAGTATTTCTAATGGGTAAGGAATTCTTTTTAACCCATGAAAGCAATGGAGGAGCACTTGCCTAGCATGCACAAGGCCCCAGCACCACAAAAATAAAAATAAAAAATAAATAATGTCAGGCGCAGTGGTGCACGTCTGTAATCTCAGCAGCTCTGGAGGCTAAGGCAGGAGGATCACAAGTTCAAGACCAGCCTCAGCAAAAAAAAACGAGGACATAAGCAACTCAGTGAGACCCTGTCTCTAAATAAAATATAAAATAAGGCTGGGGATGGAGCTCCGTGATTGAGTGCCCCTGAGTTCAATCCCTCGGACCCCAAATAAATAAATAAATAACAACCTTCAAGGCCACTGTGACATAAGCATGCCTATTCTTTACCATGTTCGAAGACCTGGTCCACGTTCAGATTTTCCCCAGTTGTCTTAAAATGTCTTTTGACATCAAGTCTGTCTGAAGGAGGATCCCAACGAGGCCCTCCTGTGGCATTTGGTTGCTATGTTCTCTTCAATCTCTCTTATGTAACACTTTCCCTCCCTCCTTCCCCTGTACCCCACACCACCAAGCCCATCATTTGTTGAAGAAACCATGTTATTTGTACGTTCTGGTGAATTCTGTGACAAGAAAATATTCTTGTCTGGAGAGGAAATCCAATCTTCAAAAAAAGGATGAAGAATGCACTGATGATGGATGCATAGATTGAGCAAACGAAAAATCAAGCAGTTCTTACCATGAGAGGAAACAAAATGTCCAGGAAGACAATTACAATCACAGTACACTTGTTCAAGTGGCTTGCATTACTGTTTCACAGTCCCCACCCAAACCAGGGGTGCTCTTCCACTGACCTACACGCCCAGTTCTTTTATTTATTTTTTTTGTCTAGATACAGGGTCTCACTAAGTTTCTGGGGATCTCACTAAGTTGCTGAGGCTGGCCTTGAACTTGCAGTCCTCCTGCCTTAGCCTCCTGATTTATTGAGATTACAGGCCTGTGCGACTATACCCAGCAAAAAAATAACTTTTTTAGAATGGGAGATTGAACCCAGAGGTGTTTTATCACTGAGCTACATCCCCAACCCATTTTTGAATCTTTTTTATTTTGAGACAGGGTCTTGCTAAGTTGCTCAGTGGCCTCAAATTTGCAATTCTCTGGCTCAGCCTCTCAAGAGAATCACTGGGATTATGGGTGTGTGTC